ATGCAGGATAGGACTGATACATTTAAACACAATTAGAATATATTAAGGATTTAATTACAATAGAAGTAAAAAGATTAAAAAGAATTTTCTTATTTTGGTTAAGACTGAAAATTTTAACAGAGAACTGCCAGTTCTTGCATATGACAGATACGATTATGGCAAAGACAGTTGACGTTTGACACGAAATCAGTTAATGGACATATTTAAAGAATAACTTTTTTCGAAAACTCAATTCTAATAAAGTTTCACATTGGTGTATTGTATTTTAGATCATACCGTATACTCAAACACATCCTGACAACATCAAAATAAAAGTCTTCTAAAAATAGATCCTAAAGGTCATCTTCTGATGTTACTAATGGACGAGCATCTAGGGATCATCCTCGTAGTTAGGTGTAAATCAGCTCAGAAAATGCCATTACTGATGCTAATGTATTCCTTGGAGATGTTTCGCAGTCCTTTCCACTTCGTATCCATGGCTAATAATTAGGATACCGAAATATATATTCTCCTCGATAATTTAAGACATATATTTGTAAATATACAGCACTCGGATTCATTAGGCACATTAGATATACATTACTTAAAATTAAGATTCAATAATTATAAATCGGTTAACTGTTTGTGGATTTTTAACAGCTCTTTGATAAACTGCATGCCCTAAAAATCAAATAACAGCCGGGATACATGCACATGTCTCTAAAAAGTCCTTGATTTGTTAAACAAGTACAATAATTGCCTAAAATTGGATTTGATTCGTTTTTAACATTAGTGATAATAAAACAGCAACTAGATTGTGCATATTCACACAGCTACTACTTTAAGCAAAATTGTATTATTTTTCCTCATAATAAATATATTTTTTGCTTCCAATAATTCAACCCACAAAAGCAATAAATCCTTTCTCATTTTTCAACATGAAACTATTAGAAAACATTAACAAAGCCTATGATGTTCTAATAGTCCCTAGGGATTTTTCCAACCATGCTAGATATGAGATATGAAAGGCAGTATCAAATTAATGACGCATACTGATTAAAAACGGGGTGTTGAATATTTTTACTACATTCATTACCCTTAGATGGTAGAGATAAAATTGTCATATGTTTCCCTTCATCCCTTTTCGTCAGTAGCGGCGATGATGAGCTAAATAGGGGGAGATTAAAAATATAAAATATTACATATACTTAAGTTGGAACCATATGGAAAAAAATGTTATCATTGATTTTAGGAAAAAAAGTTGTTCTTAATAAAAAGTCCTGCATGACCCAAAACTTAAAATGCAGTCATCAGATATCAAATTTTTTAAGCCGTATACGAGGTTTGTCAAAAAATATGAATTTTGCTCACGAGTAAATGGCATTTATTTTTGACAAAATCGAAAATTTTCATTAAGAAAATTGCTAAAATTCTTCACAAACATCAAGAAAAGGAAAGCGTATCATGTTTATAGTAGAGAAGAGAGAGAATGTTTCAAAAGCTAACGTAATTTATAACGTTTTCAGATATTTACAATCAATATGTAGAAAAGTAAGAAAATCTGTTTTTTCAGATAGATCGGTGTAATTGCATATTTGAATTTAATTTTCATTTCTAATCTACTTTTCTTAATGAAAATTTTTGATTTTGTCAAAAATAAATGTACTTTAATCTAGAGCAACATTCATATTTTTTGACAAACCTCGTATACGGCTTGACAAATTTGATATCTACTTACTGTATTTTAAGTTTTGGGTCATGCAGGACTTTTTATCAAGAATAACTTTTTTTCCTAAAATCAATAATAACAGTTTTTTCCATATGGTTCCAACTTAAGTAGACACACTGTATTAAAATATTTAAAAATAATTGGACTAAATAAAATTAATAAAGCAAATGACTAGTACAGATAATAATTGAACCTAGAGAAGCGACAGCTTTACAAATTCTAATGGTATTTGAATTACTTTCAACATTTGGACCAAATAGGTTCTTTAGTTCGTCCCAGTGCACTGGTGTATTATCGAATATCTTTTATTCAGCCCCTTGTATAATCCACTACACCTTTCGGTCGTTGGTGTGGTTTTTACGGTGGATACTTTTTCCACGAGCCATTTAACAATAGTGAATTACACTCGACATGCGCATAAGGAAGTAAACTCTAGGTAAATAGAATTTGTTCCTGCAAATGATGTTCCAATTAAGAACTAACCCTTCTAAAATTAAAAGCACAAATTAAAAATTCTTAACACAATTTAAAATCCATATATTATTATTATTATTATTAATAAATATACAATCAGTCCGTAATAAGATAGATGAGTTATTTGTATCATTTTTCACACAGAATACTAGCTGGAAAAATATGAACATAATAATAGTTTGCTAAGTATCTATGTTCAGACATATTTGTACATGAGAGCAATATTGATAAACAACAGTTGGGAAGTTGATAGTAAAATGCCAAGATTTAGTTGGGGAAAAACAATTTAAGTTTTTTCGTTAATAATATTAAAAAGTTAATTTTTTATAAGCTGTATTTATTTACAAACATCAGTATTTTAATTATTTTATATAAATTGAACCTAAGATACCAAGTTCGTCTAAAATTATTTTGACGGCAGACCCTAATGTGGATTTTCTTGTTCAAAATGATAATAATATAATAAATATTTTACATATTTTATTCTACACAGATCCTACTAGAATCACTAATAATAGCAAAACGTTAATTGACTATTTTTCTTCCTCTTTTCTGAATAATAATATTCTGTGTTCAATCAGTTCCCCTCCTTTATCTGATCATGAAATTATTTTGGGCTCATTTGCTCTCGATGAAAGGCTTAAAACTAAATTCAAATTATGATCGTTTATTTAGCAAAACAAATTATGATAAATTTAGATTAATAAGACTCAATTTCATATAATATAGCTGTATGCTGACTGATTACCCATTTATTGATTTATTGATTGATATTAGTCGGTTTGTTTGTCAATAAGCGGAGTTATTATGAACAAATAATGTTATTTGTGAACAGGTTGTTATTTCTGTGTATTTATAAAATAACTGATCTGTAAAAAATAACACAAGTTGTCAATCATTATCCTATATTCTTTGTTGACAAAATGGTCCTCTGTATTATTTCTGCAACAAATTAGACACATTACATGACGATCCCTGCGTCATTCCCTATAAGTTGCGCCGCTGCTCTCGACTCTGTCATCTCTTGCAACCCTTATTGGTTAGTTTCCTCTTACAAATGAGATCCCGGTGGGTGGCGGCCTTAAAAATAATTTATCTCGATCAAATTAAAACGCTCCCTGTTTGATAAATAATAAATAAATTAAATCGGTCTTTTGATCTCGACCAGCGTTATGAAAAACGGATCGTTCATTCTTCCGAAGATGATGGAATAAATTAGAAAAAAAAAGAATGATATCGCCCCTGATGGGGCTTTTATATTGGAAAATGTTTGCGTCATTAGCGTCGGTGTTTTAATACTAACAATCTGCCTGGTGTAATCAAACAAACGAAATGAAAAGGAACAATAAAAAATTTGGAAATATTAGCAGATGCGGACGATCTAGTTCCTGTTATGTTAGGTTATATTGTAATAAACAATATAATATTAATAATAATATTTTGGAATGTTTTATTAGCTTACCTAGCAGAGATCAGGAGGCCCTACAGGCTCCGATATGGCCTGCAGGCCAAAACGTACAGATCTGATATAAACGTAAGATTTAATCAGCTCATTTCACTCTTCATCTTCACATTAGACAGAATAAGACAGAAAAGAAGAGTCCAAATGTGAGTCAGTTGTGAGTCAGTTGTAAGCACATTATGCACTCGTGGGATACTTACAACTCTTGTTATGTAATATACTATTATTGCTGTTTACAGCAAGAATGTGGGATTTTACTTAAAGCTTGTATACCAAATGATAGAATAGAAATTATTACTCAACTAGATTAAGAATAATAAATATACAGAGGTATAAATAATGTTAATTTTTTACTGTCAAGAATTAAGGTTCCACAAGTAGAATTGACATTTTTATATTTACTATTTTTATATTTTATTGTGAATTATTGATACCTTTTAAATATTAAAATATTACCTAATTGCTTTATATTTTTTAATTTTTCTTAATACCTGTGAAAATGGTCTGTTAAAAACCTATCCGTTCGGCTAAAAGGACCTTTAATTATTTTCGCAGAATAATGCCCAGAAGGGCGAATTTATTAAGCGACCTTTAACTAGACCACCGCAGCATGTGCTGCAACCTCAAATTGTGTGAAAATTGGTTTCCCTTTCACGTAGGGTTAGAGGTCTACCCTTAAATGGAAATTGTGGTATTGTGAAATAACCTGCTGGTTGACAATGGCAAATAATGTCGCAAGATTATTGGCGTTTGCCGAAAAACGTTGAGCATATTTTTAATGAATATTACCGCGCCATGTTTCAGAAATAAGTTATTGTATAAAAAAATATAGAAATCAGTGGAACAACATTTCCATCCATTTGCCATTATATCAACTGAAATCAGTTACTAAATGAGATTTATCATCAGTAAGTGTCATATAATAAATATCAACTCACAATGATCCAATTTCACAAAATCGTCATCAGCTTTTACGATAACTGAAGTATGTGCTATCAAATATGTCACTGGAGTTTTTATAAGAATGTTACTAAATTATTAAGCCTGATATAACTATGGCGATTGCGGCATAGGCATCCATCTTGGACGCCATTTTTATATGAAATAGCGGTCGTCAACTATGTAAACAAAAGGCGTTTTTACTTATATTAATATTATTAAACCCACTTACTTTCAAAAGGTAATATTTCACAAAAATCATATTTGGCACACGTGAATTGCTATTTTTCTTAGGTTAAATTAAGTATAATATCAAAAATAAGATAATTAAATTGAATTTATTATTAAAATTGACTATCTGAAAACTCTTATTTCGTAAATTGTGATTACTAACGTATTGTCTTTTTTCCTTTTCAGAAAATGTAATAAAATACGAAGCTCCTAGAGGAGAGGTACGTGAACCTGACATAGATTTGGAAGACATCAGCTATGATGGAACGTTGGATGGTAAAATGATGAGAGGCGGCTTGGGACAATTGGTAGATGGATTGTACGGTGACGATGACTACCAGAAGCAGTTAAACGGCGAACAGTCAGGTACGAAATAGTTTTTAGTATTATTTAGAATAATGGAAAATACCTTTAATTTTTCGTGAAGGTACGGTTCTGTATAGCGCAAAACATAAGCCATTTTACTAGAATCTTTTTAGCCACAGAGAAAACAATATTAACATATGACGCCTTAAGTTTGGAAATTACTCGGGCGCCAGTTTAATACTCATAAACGTGGTTTGTTCGATAATACTCTAATACAGCTTACGAAATCATTCGAACACCTTCAGATTGAGATAAATCGTTAACACGATAGAGATTTCCCAGAAGCTAAAAATGGGCGCTTTTTTACCAAATATTTTATAGACTTTTAATAGTTTTGTTAATATCAGCAATTTGAGCTTGAACATGTGCGTGAGTCTGGTACTTTTACTCGATTTATCAAACAAATAGCTTATTCTAAATAGCAATAATTAAAAATAATGGAACTCCTCAATGAATTTAAACAAAATTGTGACGATTTGCAATATAATTGGAGAAATAAATTAAAGGATTTTAAGGTAAAAAATTTGACTATCGAACAGAATCGTTTAACGGTATAATCGAAATAAAATAACAAGATGATTTAATAGTTCCTTCATTAGTCAGATTATCAGAGTTGTCAGTATCTACCAGGTGCTTCACCAGATGTTCCTTCCGTAGTTTTCTGTTGAGTGAGGACGCCTTTTGACAACACTATTTAGGACTTCTTGTTGTTAAGCGATTAGAACCCGTTGTCACCAGTTACAAAATCTTATTCTGAGGACGGTAGCGATTCCTACTGACTGCGCCAAATGTTAAGTCACAATTTTTACACTGGATTTTTTAAAAACTTTATTTTCTATTCTCCGGATATTATAATATTTGATTCATCTGTAAATGGCTTTAAGCATACAATTCAAAACAAGATGGTTTTGCTTGTAAATATACAAAGAAATGTTTGCAATTCTCCCTAAATATGAACTTCTTGTCGTTTGTTTGGCTTATCGGTACAATAATTAAAACCTGTTATTTCGTGTTCCATTTTTCCTCGAAAAATTACACAGCCCACATAATACAAATTTATAATGGCGCACAAAGGAAAGATTAAAAATTCATACACCCCCAACGTTTCTTTTCACAAACCTCGCAGCCATAAATCCTCAGTGACCCGTATTCTGCTCTATACAATCTTTAATAAAATGATCCTTAAATGTTTTATAAGATACATAATAAAATATAAAAAGCCCCGGGGGTGGTTTTCATTAGATTCAGGTTGAAAAACTCATTTAGTAAACTTTCACCGTGAAGTCTCGGTGATTAATCAACATTTCGAAGCGAGTTTTTTTTATTAGATTACTTTATTTATTAGTGACTTAGCGGCTACATCGGAAAATAGTCCTTTTTAGGGTTCGCGGGTACGTTAATGAATTCTTTGAAAGGCTTGACACGTTTCCAGGCCGTGTGGCCTACTTTATGAAAGTCAAATAAGGATTTTTATGCAGACCACCAAGAATTGGCCATATTTTTAAAGTGAACAGGACCGTTTTTGTTTTAAGAAACTAGAAACGCAAGTATGAAAGATAACTCATGGATATGATTTAATTTTAGGTAAATTTCTTCAGGAATCTTTAACTGTTTTAAACTAATGACGCATATTTTAAACCTTGAATACTTACCATAAATATGAAAAGTGACACAAATTAGGGGGCGCATATGTGGGGTAGATAATGGGGGCAATAACACCCTAAGAATTTTTAAACCTAATTTTTTATAGGTACTAAAATATATTATTACAAAAAATGAAGTTACTCTCCCAGACTTAAACTTTGTTACCACTAACTACCCTCCCAGACTTAAACTCTGGATGCGCTACTGCTCCAAACTAGCTCAAAACTTGGAGGAAGTTACTTCCTACCAGCAAGTCTGTTATCGATTAGCTCAAAGTATTTGAGAAAATATACAATAACAAACTAAAATTAATAACAAATATTATGAATTTAATTCCAAACATTTTTGGTTTAATGGATGCAAAATATTACTGAGATTTTATCTTAAATACCGCCACAAACCAAAATATTCTTAGAGATGTCTGAAAAAAATTTAAAATCCAACCACAAACTGTATCTAAAACTGCCTCAATTCGGGTTATTTTCTGCAAAAATTTTTTACAAACTCCGCAATAACTTAAGTTAAGGTGCTTTTATAATCGTTAATTTTAACAGCAAAATGTCGTATCTTTTAAATAAAATATAAAGATTTTACGCCAAAAACAAAATGATGATTATAGAGGCTTACAAAATTTCTCAAAACAATAGCATTTAAGTTGTGGCAGTATTTGAATGAGCCATCCACATGTCATCATAGCGCAGGTCCATAGAATAGTTAATAAGATGTATGATGACTTCAACAAAAAAAATTTTTGTTCTGCAAATACACAACGTAAACGTTAGATAAAATGTGGCACACTGGATTGTTCTACAAAATAAAGAAGCTGCTGTCTCAAATCCTACCTAACCAACAGACATTTGTTGGTCAGGTATTAAATGATATGTTCCACGAATTGTATACCTCCTGTATACAAAGCATCTTTCAACTTTCAATGGTTATAATAGCCTAGGTTGTAGACAATACAGCTGCTTTCTCCTCACATGATCCAAAAATCAAGACAACTGCATCAATTTATTAAAATGGATTCCGTGCTCATTTTTGTTTGAGTTTTTCGCATATTAAATTTCAGACCATCCTAATCCTCTGCATCTGTATCTTACTATGCAAATTTCGACCAGAGAGGCAAAATCAATAGCATTTTGGAGAATCTTTATAACTCCATTAATAATTTAGATTTTGTTTTTAAAGCTTATTTAATGATATATTGGAAATTATAAGACACGTTGGACTGGCCTACTTGCGTAAGGTTATTCAGAAAATACAAGCGACGAGTTTTTCCTGTCGCAGGATAATCAAATATTCACCTGTTGCTTCGAAGAATGAAATATCCCCTTGGCCAGATATTCTTTTGTATTCTTAAGTTTTCTGCTTTATTCGAAGGTAAACAGAATTTTTCATAAGGGATTCGTTCCGACGTCATTTGCAATTTAAAACATATTAGGTACAATTATTTTACTGTTATCCAAGAAGGATCGAATCAAAATAATAGAACGATTTTCTTTTTTAATCCAGACAAGATGCGTTAAATTTTAATTCAACTATTTTAAATTGAAAAATATATATAGAATATTCCGGAATAGAGTACATAAATTTCAAAATTTATTTTAAAATTTTTCAACTCAGTTTTATAGAAAAAATTATGAAAAATCCTTTCGACTTTTAATAGATTTATTAAAATACTATAAAACTGAATATTTTCAATAGGTATGCCTTAAAACACGAAATTGTACACTATAAAATTGTTTTTAGTTTAGTTTTAGTCCATTTTTTAGTAGTTTAATTCAGTTCTAGTTTAGTTTATTTTTAGTTTACTTCCGTTTTTGTTTAGTTTAGTTTTAATTTAGTGTAGTTTATTTTGAGTTTAGTTCAGTTTTAGTTTAGTGTAGTTCAGTTTGAGTTTAGTTCAGTACAGTTTCAAGTTTATTTCAGTTTTAAATTAGTTTAGGTTAAGTCCAAGTTTTCAACTTTAGTTCAGGTTCTGTCCAGTTCCGTTTTGATTGATTTTTAGTTAGTTCAGTATATATACTACTGGATCAAAAACGTTAAATCGTTAGGATAACAGTAGGCCTTCTTACTGGACACTGTCGCCTCAAAAGGCACATGCGTGTCATAAATCCAGCAGAAGAAGCAACTTTGTGCAGGTTCTGTGAAGAAGAAGAGGAAACATCATTCCACGTCCTGTGCCAATGTGAAGGCTTGGCTGGAATGAGGTTTCTAACATTGGGCGAAGAAAAGCCAATTGCATGCAACTACATGCGGGAGCCACTGTCAAAGCTACTAAGTCTAATAAAAAAGACCAGGCTAGACGACATACTCTAAAACAAACGGAGTCCCACAATAGATCTGGAAAGGTCGCGGTGGACAAGGACAAATAACGTCCAACTCCTAATATAATCTAATCTAATCTAATCTAATCTAATCTAATCTAGTTCAGTATAAGTTTGTTTCAGTTTTAGTTCAGTCTTATATAGTTTACATTTGGTTTAGTTCAGTTTCAGTTTAATTCAGCATTAGTTTGGTTTAATTTTAGTGTAGTTCAGTTTTAGTTTAGTTCAGTTTTAGTTTTAGTTTAAGTTCAATTTTAGTTTGGTTCAGTTTAAGCAAAGAGTAAACCGTAGAGGAGTTAGAAGTGTACAAGGATTTATAGGTCCAACGGATTTTAAGTATGTGTGAGGAATTTTGAACATTGCCAGGGAATTGTGGGAATTGCTGGGGCGTTGTGGAAATTGTGAAAATTGTGAAAATTGTGAAAATTGTGAAAATTGTGAAAATTGTGAAAATTGTGAAAATTGTGAAAATTGTGAAAATTGTGAAAATTGTGAAAATTGTGAAAATTGTGAAAATTGTGAAAATTGTGAAAATTGTGAAAATTGTGAAAATTGTGAAAATTGTGAAAATTGTGAAAATTGTGAAAATTGTGAAAATTGTGAAAATTGTGAAAATTGTGAAAATTGTGAAAATTGTGAAAATTGTGAAAATTGTGAAAATTGTGAAAATTGTGAAAATTGTGAAAATTGTGAAAATTGTGAAAATTGTGAAAATTGTGAAAATTGTGAAAATTGTGAAAAATTGTGAAAAATTGTGAAAATTGTGAAAATTGTGAAAATTGTGAAAATTGTAAAAATTGTAAAAATTGTGAAAATTGTGAAAATTGTGAAAATTGTGAAAATTGTGAAAATTGTGAAAATTGTGAAAATTGTGAAAATTGTGAAAATTGTGAAAATTGTGAAAATTGTGAAAATTGTGAAAATTGTGAAAATTGTGAAAATTGTGAAAATTGTGAAAATTGTGAAAATTGTGAAAATTGTGAAAATTGTGAAAATTGTGAAAATTGTGAAAATTGTGAAAATTGTGAAAATTGTGAAAATTGTGAAAATTGTGAAAATTGTGAAAATTGTGAAAATTGTGAAAATTGTGAAAATTGTGAAAATTGTGAAAATTGTGAAAATTGTGAAAATTGTGAAAATTGTGAAAATTGTGAAAATTGTGAAAATTGTGAAAATTGTGAAAATTGTGAAAATTGTAAAAATTATGAAAATTGTGAAAATTGACAAGGAATTGCCAGGGAAGTTTGGGTATTGTCGAGGAGATGTAAATGAATTTTCAAGAAATTGAGTGAATTGTTGAAAAATTGCGTGAATTACCAAGAAGATGCCGAATAATTGCAGATGAATTGCTAAGTAATTTCAGTAATTACTCGCAGTTTACCCTTCAAGTTTTAATTTAAATTAGTTTCAGTTAATTGCAGTTATGGTTTAGTAGAAAGGTTTTTAGTCTGAAAGGTTTGGAATCTCTCGATGGATATGACGTTAACTTGTTAAAACTCACCCACAATCATATCGATAATAGAGTTTGAAAAATACCAGTAAACAATTTCAATTATTTTCGATGCTATGTTCTCGTTTCCCATGCAGTTACAAAATTTCATCTTTTATTTTCGTGGAAGCGTAAATTTGGGACTGTTTTACATAATTTGTTTTCCAAAAGAAGCTAAACTTTTCTTTTTCCTACACGAGTTGATTTCACTGCTATAAGTAACTGTGGCTTCGAAAACTCTTGAACCAGGCCTAAAAGGTACACCCGATCTAATAAGTATTGAATCTGCGGCATGGTATCGTGTTTACAGTTTCCCTCGAGGCAACGTTTCCGAATCGTATTCGACATCCTCATGGTTTACGTGCCCTTTTTGAAAATACTTACCTCGAACATTTCGGAGTAACATGGAAATGTTGCAGATAATGTTATGTTAAAATGAAACCCAAGGCTTTCAACTGCTGAATTTGTAATGGTGAATTTAATAAATATCTACATATATGTACCTAATATTATAGTAATAATAATAGTAAATCGGCTTTATTCATCATCACAAATTAAAAAAAAAAAAACAATTGTTATTAAAAAAATATGATCAAAACATGACGAATATCTACTAGAATAAATTTATTTACAAAAATCGAATTAGAAACATTTACGTAGTTGTCAAATTATTATGGGATAATATTGTTGCAAAGATTTTAAAATGACATTAAGGAAGTAAATTTGCATTCCTAATGCCAGTTATTATCAGTTTAATAATTTTTTTTTTATTGTAACTATTATAGTTATATAGTATTTATCAGGAAAGTACGCTATTAATTTTAAAATATGACAGCAGTGTGAGGCAGACGCAAAAGACGTAAATACTGATTAATTTATAAAACGCATGCTCGTGCCTCAGTTAAACATACTCGCACAAATCGTCCCCATTCAAATTGGCATGTGTCTCTTTCTTTCTAATGCGGCAGCCGATGTGACAGCTCTGCCTGTTTAATAATAAATACAATCTGAATGTTTTTAATAAAAAAGGGCTTGATTATGAATGAATGGAGTAGGTAAGTAGTTTTTCGTAGTTGGATTAAGAGTATCGAAAGCTTTAATGTAGTCAAAAAGTATGATACATATCACTTTATTTTGATTAACGGATTTAATGACATCATCCATAATTTTCAAGAGTGCTGGGCGCGAAACCCTGACTGTTCAAATGGTATAAGACCAGAAACATTTATAAATTCAAGCATTTGATCTTTTAGAATATTTTTATTGAGAACTAATAGGATATCGTCAATTGGATAATTTTAGTTTTGTAAAGTAAAATCTTTAAAATTCCTGTAAGTAATAATATTGTTTATTTTGAGTTGAAAAATATTAATATTTGGTACCTATTTATTTTCCTTGTAAAATTATAAAATTCCATATTTTTTTTTAATTCGGAATTATTATTAATGAACTTAAATTGTATATTTTGTTTTGTTCTTGTATCATGCTTAGGTACTTTCCAGACCTTATACCCGTAGATATTATGGCGGATAGACTTGTCACAGCAATTATTACAGTTGTAGTAGTTTACATAAGACACACTCTGGTTTCGAAGTTCTAAAACAAGCAATAGATAAGAGAAAAAATTTCAAATACATTGCGACGTCTCTTTCTAAACCTTGCAAGACATATTCATACCGTAATAAAATAGCAAGTTTCAGCACCTAGATTTTCTGTTTAGCATCTGTTTATCAGACGAAAGATCTGATACTTACACTGACAACAAGTGAATACGTTTCGAGACATCGATTGGCGATATTTTACCTATTTTATAACGCTTACCTTCCGTATAAGCAGCTTTAGAGGCTGCAAATTTTCAAAAAGCCTGACAAGTTGGTTTTTCTGCAAAAACCCTTCTTGTATTACGTTAGAAAAAGGCGTAAATAAGTACATTTTATTACTGGATGTGTTGCTTATCTTATCCGGTAGGTAGGTATGTATAGCAGGAATTTGTTTTATTTTCAGGTAGAATTAATTTCAATAAAACCGAGTAATGTATGTAATAAGGATTATAATGGCATTCATATTAAAACCAAAATAAATAAAAACAAGAAACGGAGTTTCAAATCAGGAAACATCTAAATAAATTAGTTACGCAACTGCTTCTACTGATGTTATTAATGACTTGATTTACTAGATTAAAGCATTTGATATGCTAAATCATAAACTGCTTTTGGTCATCACACAATGGATCATACGTGCCTGCATTAAGATTCTCGGTTTTCATGTTAGTATTTAAACAATAATTATTGTATTGGGTATCGTTGTAGCAGAAATGGTTAGAAGATTAGTGACACCGAATTTTGTAAAACCATATCTCATTAAGTCACTTAGTACATGTTACAGCGATGAATCTTCATTTTTTTCTTAATGGCAATGTTATAAACAAAATTGTCTGTACTAGAGTGACCAACAACCGCATATTAATCAAGAAGAAGGGCATATATAACATCCACAAAAAGTTAATGTTACTTGTGGTATTCTTGAAATTGCAATTATTGGTCCTTCATTTGTTGAAGGAAACTTGACAGGCGATCTATAGCTTAATATGCTTGAAGAGAATATTGATCCTCTTATAACTCACAAGCTAGAAACTCAAAGTGATACAGAAGGTAATTTAGTTTTACAAGATAATCTGTTACATTTACAGCAGGACAGTGCTACACCCCATTTTTTCTTTCCGTCCAACAGTGGTTAAACGAGATATTTCTAGACAGTTGGATTGGCAGAAGGAAAGCAATTGAATGGCCCCCCAAGTTCACCTGATTTAACTCCCTTGGACTTTTTTCTTTTGATACAACTAAAATCCGTTTCTTATGAAAAACAACCTGCTGATATTGATGATCTTAAAAGGTGAATTACAACAGCATGCTGGTCAATTCCCGGTGAAGTTTTCCAAAATATTAAAGAGAGAGGTTCGGAAACAGACTTTATTACTCTTTATAGTATAATGGACAACATTTTGAACAGTTTTTATAATAGTGTACAAGTAGATGTGTTTTATTTTTAAATTTTTTTGTGCAAATTAAAAGTTATTTTTGTAAAAGTCACGTAATCAAAAAAAAGTCAAACGTGTAGACTCGATATTCCTCCTGTTATTCAATTCGATAGAATTTTTGTTTAAATACTAAACTGAAAACCAAGAATCTCAGTGCAGGCACGTTTCAACTTCTGTAACTTTAAAACGCAATTTTTCGGAACTACTGGTCAGATAAATAAATTAGGGTACTCTTAAAAAGATAATTAAACGTCCTATAAAATGATGTGCCACTTGACCCCCTGTTTACTGAAAGGAAGATATTTAGGGTGGGAAGTTTTAACAATTAATTTCACGGATTTTTAAAGATTTTTCTAATTTTATGCTTGAGTCCCGTACCACCTAAGTATTTGTCACCTTATATCCATCCCGACAATCAACGTCCCACCGCCCTACTTGTCGTCCCTAAATATTTCTTTCATAATATCCTTAACAACACCCTTCGTCGTTCAGCACCACCTAAGTATTTCTTACCGTATATCGGTCCCGACGCAATACCGTAATAAATACCTTCCTCTCCGATACGACGATATGCGTCTCAAAACAAGGCGACGCTCAACGCTGCGAGGTACCCAAAATCGACACCAATTGTAGATATACTTTGCTTATTATTGGATTACAATTAGAGTATAAAAAATGAAAATGTTTAAATATAAATTTGTACGGTTTTATTTAGCAATTTGTACCAAACTTTGCATCGAATCCTAGTTTATCTTTAATTAACATTATTACAACGTGGGTATATAATTTATCAATTAATCGATCACTACGATCACTACTACTACTACTACTAGAGAAAAAAAGGGCTAAATACAATAAGTATACAATTTAAGTTAAAACAAAATTGAGAGGTAAATTATAAAATTTTAGATTTAATCAAAAATCAATGGGGGTATGGGTGTGGGCGGTTACAGAATGTATATATATATATATATATATATAAAAGTTGGCACTCAAAAGATTACTTACTTGTTTACTTGGTCTTTAGCCTAACTCGCCATTAACAATAAATACTAACTGTATAACTCAAAATGACCATTTCACAGATAAACTTATGTAAGGCAGTATCCGTTTACATTTGAATCAAAAAAGTGACATCAAATTATCGCAGCAAAACTATAAAACTACAGCAATAAAACCCTTGGTTTTGTTAGTTATATAGATAAACAACTATAAAAAGTAG